CACTCACAACAGCTCTGGATGAATTTCCCAGAAGCCATTTAACCTCGCAGCATGTCTTTGAACTGCAGGAGGAAGACGGAACACTCTGAGAAAACACACAAAACACTGAGCCACTCTCCCGCCCTGGGTGAAAAGCAGTGCGATCCAAGAGCTGGCTTTTTAAAGCACCTTTTGGTAAAGCAGCTCAGCCACAATTAAGTGTGTCGATTTTCCAAAAAGAAACCACCACTCTACCTCTACATTTTGAGAAGCCTTCAACCACCTGCACTTTACATTCAGTTACCAAGAAAATACAAAGTTAAAATACAAAGGATCAGCTTCATGAGTCTTCATGCCTAATGAACCTGTTGTTTTTTATTTCAAATAAGGAAACAAATGACAAAAATTCAGGAGTGACACATCTTTCAGAATATTAATGTTAGGGTTGCACTAAGATGTTACGTTTACTTTTATTTTGGAATGGTAGACGTTTGCATTTTCAATATTAACAATCAGATGGTAAAGTCTTATGGATCAAAAGGCTGTTCTGTAACATACCTGTTGCTTTTTTGTATTTCTATCTTGCACAATTTGGTAATTTGAATGCTCTGAATTGTAATGTTTAAAGATTTAAGATGAAATTTTTTTTGTGTGTAATGTGGTGTCAAAAGTGTGAGTTTTTTTCTTTCATGTTGCACCTTGTTCATTTACACGTCTACTGATATATTCTGAGCATTGTGCATGGCTTACTCTCCCATACCGTGCTTAAAGGGAGCTGTTTATTCCTTCGCACCTCTGCCTGGACTCGATGTGGACAGATGAGTGTTATGACGCTGAGCTACTGTACGGACAGGTTGTACTGCCTACAGCCAACACACCAGTCCGTTCCCTGGAGCTAGAGCCAAAGAGTCAGAGAAGACTACTGCTTGCAGTCAAGAAATGACACTACCTCTTGGAAGTATAAAATCAAGCAAGAAGAGTTTTGGACAGAAGAGACCAAAAGAAACTTTCACCAAACTGATAGGCAGATTATAATGAGGAGACTAAGTAACTAGATGCTCCAGAGATCAGCACCTCATCTGGTGGAGGTCTTGTCATGACCCAGGTGTGCATGGTTGTCTCTGGAACGGCTGCATTCATTATTGATGATGAAAGCAGTATAGGTGCAGGTGTCTACAGAAATGTTTCATCTCGATACACCATATCTTATGCTCTGTATCCATTATTGTTGCTTTTAAAAAACAACAATCTTAGTTTAGTTAAGCAAAACCTACCCTTTCTGAACCCAAGAGGATCCTCTTGCTGTGAATGCTCCAGCTTTGTGCTGGTTATTGTTTCCATAACCTTTCATGTAACCGAAGGCTAACTTGTCCCATTTAGGGAGCAGTACTCCAACTATAAAAGAGTCACTTGAATAGTATAGACAGCTCAGGGGGACTGAGAGGCCGAGTTCACACCTATCGGCTGATTAGAAACCACATGAGCGGGGTGGTGTGGTGGCTCTGTGGCTCAGGATCTGCGCCTGTGGCTGGAAGGTTGCCAGTTCAAATCCCGCGGCCGGCAGAGGAATCCTACTCCGTTGGGCCTCTGAGCAAGGCCCTTCACCCCAACTGCTCCAGGGGTGCCGTATAAATGGCTGACCCTGCATTCTGACCCCCAGCTTCTCTCCCTGTCTGTGTGTCTCATGGAGAGCAGGCTGGGGTCTGCGAAAAGACAAATTCCTAATGCAAGAAATTGTATCTGGCCAATAAAGTCAACTCTATATAGGAGCGACCGGTCCAGACCCCAGCAGGACCGGTGCAGAGTCCTTCTCTTCTCACTTGTACTGACCTTTCAGTTTCTTAGAATTGCAGAGAGCTTCAGTTCTCAGCTTTAATTAGTAAACTTCTGACTTGCTTTCAGTTAATTAGTAACTTTCTGACTTATGAACACAAATGGGCTTTTTCCTCTGCTGAAGCTGCACCACAGGACAGTGGTACCGAGTAGCTGGTCTGTTTTTACAACGGGAAACGCAAGTCAGTCCCAGCTCCTGCTCCTGTTCCGCTGCACAGACATTTTGCATTTTTCACCATCGAGTTCTTATATTCAATGCAGAAAACTGCAGATCGGCACGATAAAGGTAGGAATAGTATTCCTCTAAATAATTTTCTGCAGGAGTGCAAGACAGAGCCATGCATCACTGATGCAGTCGTGTTGTTCCGAGCTTTGCAGCCATAAGTCAATGCTGCTGTCACAAAGTTTAAGAAGAGCTATCTATTTAGAACTTAAAACTGAGGGTCTTGAGGTGAAAAAAATGTTAAACCTTAAAATTCTAGGCTGCCCAATTCACTCAGTTCCCTTTATTACAACGACCCCTTGTGATCAAGTATAAGAACTGTACAGCTCCGACTATTTCAGACACTGCTATAATATTCTGTTTTCAAAGTTAACACTGCAGAAAGCATTGACGATATTCGTATGAAGTCATTAGACCAGGAACACAAAAACAAATATTATTTGGTATTTTAGGTTAATAAAATGATGCATGTTGCACACCCTGAATGTGACCAATTCACAGATATAAACCACAAGAACAAGTTGACTAGAACTAAATATGAGGTGGGTTAGTCCCATGTTCCTGAGTGTAAAACTGTTTGATAATCTTATGCTGAAAAGAGAAGAAAGAAAACACAACGTTTCAGCCGTGGAGCCTTCTTCAGGTGTGAAGGCTTTCAAAACCCGAAGAAGGCTCCATGGCCGAAACGTTGTGTTTTCTCTCTTCGCTCTTCAGCAGGGAATAAACCTATTACTTGTTCCTTTGTAGCCTCCGCATGCTGACGCAGCTCCCCACCTGAACTACTTTGACAATCTTATACCAGTGTCAGCTTTGTGGCAAAGGCCAGGTATGGCTCTGCAATTAGAAAGGAAACTCAAGTAGAGGGCTAGTGCCTGTGCACACACATGCACGTGGGGACAGTGGGGGAGACACTGAATAACCTGACCAGCAGGTCACTGGGAGCAGCACGGAAATCAGAGTGGGAGGGGAAACCCCATACAAGGCCCGGGCGAGCATGCAAACTCCACACAGAGGGTGCCCATGCCAGAACCAAACCCGGGGCCCAGGGTCTGTGAGGCAGCTGTGCTTGATCTTGCACAGAAAGGCCTCTGCTTCAGCGTTTTGAACTGCTTGTTTTATTTTTCTTTGTTTTCAGTCCTTGCTCTCTGCCACAGTTTATAAAAGGGAGACGCTCGGCCTCTCTGGCACCTCTTGGAACAGTACTGTAGTGAAAGGTCAAAAGATTAAGCAATGACGCAGCACTATCAAGCAGTTAACTTAAAGTTTTGTATTGACAACAGCTAATCGCAGTTAACTCTGCTAATCATATCTAGACAGTTAGACAAAATACATTTCTCTACTTCTGCTCTAGCTGTTGTAAAACTGAAAATGAGATATCCAAGTACAGTGAGCAAACAAAGCAAGCAAATCAGCTCCAATATTACCAAAACATTATAGGTGGATGAGGGACATCATATGGGGAAAAACTGACACTTACTCAAAAGTAACAGGCATTAAGACAATGAAAGTGTTAGACAACCGTTTAACATGTGAAAGTGACTTTAAAAGCCTTTAACTGAAGGCAAACAAACGTGGGATAATTCCATGGAGCAGCGAAGTGTGCCAGGTGCCCTAGGGTTTCAGCATCTTGATCTCTGTGCAGTGGGAAAACACCTTCAGAATAAAAGGTTCCAATCAAATGAAATTCATCGCGAGCCCTTCTTGCTCTCTTCCCTGTATTTACGAGGGCAGCCTTCATGGTGCTCTAAATTGCAACCTTGTTTTTGAGTCTTTTCCGTTCAAGCCTATTAAATGTAGATCAGGATTTAGGAAAGAGCGATCGTTCACAGCTCTGCGAGTTTTTAGTTTTTAACTTGTTACAGCACAGCAACGTCAGGACCAGTGCCACACACCGCCCTGGCCTCTGGTGAAGCAGCTGTGCAACAGATCTCCACAGGCCCCTGAGGAGCAGGACAGGCCCCTGAGGAGCAGTCAGAGGGGCTCTATAGCACCAGACCATCTCCTAATCCAGCAGTTCCCAGTCCGGGATGCAGAGGATACAGGAAGTCACAGCGCAGGTCGGCGAAGGTTTGAAATAAGTTTAAAATTCATTACAAAAAAGGCTATTATCCAGAGAACACCTAAGAAGACACACACAAGGTGTGCGCTCTGAATCCAAGTGGGTTTATAGTCTGAGTACAGCTCTGGCCACTCTCTATTACCATTACTGCCACTAATAAGTGTTTAGGAGTGATCACTGCACTGCGTGGCACGTTTTCACATCATGCTCTCTTTTCAGTTATTCCTGAAATGTCACCTCCAACAGGTGTCCGTTAATCTAGAATGAACGTAGATGAGGTCAGGATCTACACGGAGGACCACACAGCTGCTGGTCTCCATTCCAGCCCAGCTCTCAGTCACACACACGGTCCCCTGTTTTACTTCCTGACAGGATCAACTAGAACTAGATCAACTAGGCTGGTTTCAGCTCTTTAACACGTTAGAGGTAATTTGTTAACAACTGCCTTTCGAAAGTAAGATAAAAGCCAGACTCTTGAGAAAAAAAAAGCTGCAAATATTATAATCGAGCAACTTGTTAGTTCAATTAAGGCTTCAATTAAGTAATTAAGATCAGCTGGATTGAACAGTAGCAGGTGTGTAGGCCTCCAGGACCAGGATTAATTTAGAAAGAAGCACGTCTCTCCCAGTTCTGTAAACAGGCAGCAGCCAGCACTAGGAGACTAACATGAGAGGTGTTAATCACTGATGCAGCTGTTGGTTTTCTCTGCAGCTCACTCTTCAAATTACTACATTTACATATGCATCCACACCTACTATGAATACCTTGAAACTTGTTTCTCAGGCTATTTATAAAGTTTTATACTTTAAAATAAATAATTCCTGTGGAAAGAGGCAAAAGCCTAATGTTCTTTCACGTTGTATTCATTGAAATATACAAATACCACCAGCAAGAAGAAACAAAATCTTTACAGTTGACAAAACGTTTAATAAAATACTACTGCACATGATCAACCACACTTTGTATTATACCTGTACAGTATTTAAATCTGGCCAGAACAGAGCATCCCTGGGTGTCCTGTGATCATTCAAAGTAACAGCGATGTCTTCTCTCACAAAGCCCACAGATACAGTGCTTTGCCATTCAAAAACCTGATTCCTGAATCAATCACTAACAAGCTGCCACCAAAGTCTCCTCTTTCCTGTTTGATCCATCTGCTGTTCTTTTCCTTCTCCTGTATCATGTGCTGTTAACTGCTCTATTCTTTTTCCTTTTATTGCTGCATTAAAGGAAATAAGACGCACAACCAAAACAGCCGTACTGAAGAGAATACCCTGGACGTGAAGAGACGCACTGTGATCAAACACCCAGCAAGAAAACAAAGCAGAAGCAAACACATTGCTCTTCAGACAGGTGTGCTCCATGTGCACCATCCAGGGCCTGCCACAAACCTTGAGCGGAATTACACAGCAGGCTTGTGTTTACACCACAGGTGAAAGAGCTGCAGGGATCTGGCACAGTTCCACTATGCCTGGAGGTGCTCACGCTAGGACATTAGAGCGCTAATAGAAGGCACAGTGTTTAGCATTGCTGCTTCGCAGTGCTGTGGCCCTGGGTTGATCCAGACATGGAACCTGGAAGACCTCTGGGGCTCTGGTTGCCTCTCACAGTCCAAACACATACTGGAAGGTTAACTGGGTTCTGGGAAAACTGGTCCTGGTGTGAGGGTGTGTCTGTCTGCACCTGTTGCTGGCAAGATAGGCTGCCTAAAGTGGAAAAGTGGTCAGAAAATGGACAAACATTCTCTCTGTCCTAGGGCCTTGGCTTTAAGGCTCAGAGCAACATTAGAATCGCACGGCTCGGGGTGGTCACCACAGCGCAGAGAGAGGTAGCAGTAAGTAACAGACTCACCAAAAACCTCCAAGTAGTTGGTGGCCACATGCATTAAAACAGCATTTAAATAACAGACATTTTGAATCGCAGGGACATTTTTCTGCATGCTTACAGTTTTCTATGTTCTTTGACCTGCAGGATCAAAACAGATCCACCCAGCGGGGCCCTGTCCCAGCGGGGCTATCACAGTGGACGTTTACAAAGGACTTTGATCGGTTTCCCCAAGTAAAGGTCGTGTGAAGAAGATTTCTCGCACGAGCCTGAGAGCATCGTCTTCAGAATCACCTCCCGGACTGTTCTCGCCTGGCTGCGTCGTCTCCCCAGGGGCTGGCTGGCCCATCTGCTCCGCATCCCTCTGGCCCTCTGTGACCAGCTGTGTGTCTGTCATTCGGGCCCTCTTTTTATCTTCTGCTTGGCATCCTCCACTGCCTATAATGGGAATGGTTTCTTCCTCTGCAACCCCATCCAGGTCCGATTCAGACACATGAGACCTGTCGCTTGGTTCTGAGTCTGCCAGGTCCTCCTCCTCCTCCAGGTCCGAGTCTGAAACCCAGTTTCTCTGTTCTTTCTTACAGCTTCCTGTTGTGCTCTCCTCAGGCGCCTTTCCCACCGTTGCTGGGCCCCTCCTCTGGCAAACGGAGAAAAGCAATTGTCCCAACATTCACATCCGTTTCCTAAAACCGTTTTACACCAACACACGCACTGCCTCCTCGCAAGCACCCACACAGGGATCGGCTTTGGATTAACACCCTAATTCCAATACATTATTAAATGTACATAGTACATTACATTAAAAGTTTGAAAGGATTGGAGTGCTTAGTATAGTAAGATCTCCTTTCAAATTTTCCTGTGTGAAGGTTGCTTTTTTTTCACAATAAATGAAGCAGAAGGGCATTCTGACACAGAGGAAGCTCATCTCAATCTGCATCTTTGTTCCAGATTTCATTTTATTGAACAACACGGAGCACCTTAAGCCTAAAGGAAAAGCCAGGCAAGGCTGAGTCTCCCCTCCTCCTGGACTGCTTGCGATAAAACAGATCACGTGCAGATCCTTATTTTTCAAAGAACATTATCAATAAATAAAAAGTGTTCTTAAACCAGCAAATAATTTTCTTCATGCAAAACTATTTTCTCCATGTGTACCATTCACTCTGAGAACTCATGCCAATCTAATTCAGAACTTCTGCACCAATGCAACCATATTCTACCTTAATGCAAACTACAGCAGTGGATAATTCATCTTTCAGATCTTCCGCTGTACGTGGATTATTTAATGGGGATTCTGCAGCCAAGACATGGGGCATAACGATTTAAATTCAGGCTCCCAAGCTGAAACCTCTCAGCTGACATCTGACTTGAACAAGGAAAATAAGATAAGATAAGATCACTTTATTAGCCATATACAATTTCTTGCATTAGGAATTTGTCTTTTCACAGACCCCAGCTTGCTCTCCATGAGACACACAGACAGGGAGAGAAGCTGGGGGTCAGAGCACAGGGTCAGCCATTGTACGGCGCCCCTGGAGCATTTGGGGCTAAGGGCCTTGCTCAGGGGCCCAACGGAGTAGGATTCCTCTGCCGGCCACAACCTTCCAGCCACAGGCGCAGATCCTGAGCCACAGAGCCGCCGCACTGCCCCCACAGTTCCACCACTCTGCCCTAATAAAACTCCTCAAGTTTACTGCCCTACAGGGCAGGGCAGTTCTGTGAGTACGATTGCCAAAACGTAACAGACGACTGGACAAGACCCAGTACCTGAAATGCAGACTGATCAGATCACAATTATCAGGAGGCTCTCGGTGATCTAGCACAGAGCCCCATGCAGAACACCAGAGACGCCAGTTCTTACCCCAGCCAGGAAATCCATGGCCGTCTTCACCAGCTCAGCCTCGTTCATGCAGTATACCGTGACCCTGAAAATGGGGACAAGCCAGAAAACTCATTCGCCGTAAGATGTATTCGTAAACTACCCTGGAGGTTTATTTTTTATTGAAGGAAATATACAATGAACGCATGTTTTCATATGCATCACAGAAACCCTTTCTTTTTCCATCACTGAGTGACTCCTGTTCTATATTACAAAAAAAAGAAATACTTTCTATATTTTGTACTGTGTCTTAAAAGGGGCATCCGTGGTGATACACCTAGGCAGTCCAGTTGGGCAAAAACACAAAAGAGCAGGAGAAAGACTTTTCAAAGAATCGTCCGCAAGTCTGTACCGCCCGTCGACTAGATCAAAGTTCCAGTGTTGTACACGCCTAATTTACCACATTTATTTTGAAAGAAAGAGTTTGACTTACAAGAGCCTTATAGTGAATTATAATAATTATAACATCTGAAGAAGGCTCCATGGCCGAAACGTTGTGTTTTCTTTCTTCTCTTTTCAGCATGGAATAAACCTTACAGGACTGGGGGGTACCCCAGGACAATCCTAAAGCACTTAACACATAGGAGGGGACCCGTTCACCCACTGCTGAAGTGTAGCGCCCACATTCTGCACCAGCAGCTCCACTACACAGCTGACCAGGTACAAAGGTGAGAAACTGCTTCACCAGCGTTCAGCCATTAGCTCCCCTGGCTCTTACAAACAGTGCCATGAGATCATTCATGACCAAGCAGTCAGGTGCTTGGTCGAACTCCTCCTCTGAAGGACAGCAGCTCTAACAGCAGGGGTGGGAAAGTACCTAAACACAAACTAAATCACCTCGTTAGTGGCTTAGTGAGACCAAGGTAATAACTTCCCCTGGGCCTTCAAGTGCTGCTGCTTAAGAGACCCAGAGAACCTGTGGACACACCAGCCCTCTAGGACCAGGACTGAAGATCCCTGTCCTACAGCACAGACACTATGGTACAGGAAGAAGAGTGCCACCTACCGCTCTGCCAATGCCGCACACAGCACTGATGGCAATAGGCAGGTGGACAGAAACTGTTTAACGGTGAAATTATGTAAAACCGCATGTATGAAAACAGTTCAAAATAAACAGGACCGGGGTAAATACCTCATACTGAATCACAGTATCCATGCATTGCTAAGACTAACATAACTAATACACACACAAGAGAGAAAGGCTGAAAATGAGGAGGTCTTTCAGTTCCTTTGGTTTATTCGGCAGTGAGCAGTGAACTGATCCAAAGATCTCAGCAGGCGGGTTTGTAAAGGGTATCATACGGCCGGGGAGCTCCTCCCAGACTCCCGCACACGTGAGAGCAGCTGGTCAGAAAGAAAACGCCGAGCTCACCTCACCTCTCAGCTCTCTTCCTTTTGCCCCTCTGCGGGGAAGGAGCCCTGGTCTCTGTCGATCCTGCCTCCCTCTCCTCTCTCCTCCTCACCATCCAGGCCGGCAGAGCCCGCTGGCGAGCCTGCATCGCTCGGGCGCCTGCAGACACACACCCTGGCCGGCCCCGTCAGAGGGCTGGTGGCTGGTTATCCACGGCTGGTCTTCTGCCCGTTTCCGAAGCACATTGCCGCGGCAATGACTAGTTTGAACGCGCTCTCTGCAGCGTGCAAAAGGCGCTTGAATCAGAAGAACATTTCAATTGTTACTAAGAAGTTTTATATTTTTACAACTCGCTCAGACATTTCTTATTTTAAGTCTGTTCATCTCCAAGGGGAGTATTCCATTCAATCGTGGAAAGATCAGAAACCAAAACTAAAACTGCAAACTAAATTTAAGCTGTCTTGTGATTTTAAATGTGCAGTCTGACAATGGTCACCCTTTCAAACAGGTTTTGATAACTAGTTCACTGTTAAAATATTTCGTTTCTCACAGTATTAAAAGGACTGGCTGCAAAAGATAAGAAACAAAACTATGATTTACCGAATAGCTAGGTTGATCGATTTTACAATCTGAAGACAACAGCTACTATTGTATTTTCTAATACACGTTTAATATAAATTGCAATATATCGTCTGTAAACTGTAGATCTAACCAGTTTGTAAATTCTCCGAATTACTCTTCTCTTCCTGTTGATAAACAACACATTGTACTTCCGGGATATCTATGGTCATTCAATCTTTTTACGGCCTATCATACAATGCATGATGGGAATTCAAAGGACTCCAGTGACGTGTTTCTGTTTACGTGTATAACGAGTCTTAATCCCTAGTACAAATCATCTGTTTTTCGATCGAGTGAATTTCTTCACAGAATTCACTACTATTTACTGAGAGGCATTCCGACTTTAATAGCCACATACTCTTGTTCTCTACAATTGATTTTCCTATCTGCGCGGTCTGAAATTACTGACTGCTTATTCTTAATATAATTAGCTGGTCGTGGCTTGGCTGGCAAACGGTGCTTCAGACAAAGATGCAAGCTTTTCAAATACTGTACATTGACCTCTTCGTTTTGGTGACGCTGTTTAGATATTGTGTTAATTCGTGTTTTTATATACTTATATCTATCCCTCTGTAGCTTTGTTTGAATTGCCACTGGGTGGCGGTGGTTTTTTAGAAAATCACAATACTGTCTGATCAATAATGTTAAGTACAGATTAATTTTAGCGCTCTCAATAACTGTGATAGAATTTGCTGTGACAGTTGAACTGTATTATATAGTGTATAACGTACAGCAGTGCTTCCCAGCCCCGGTCCTGTAGGAACATCGTCTCTGACCCCGGTTCTTCCCAGCCCCAGTCCTGTATGAACAGTGTCTCTATCCCAGTGCTTCCCAGCCACAGTCCTGTAGGAACATCGTCTCTATCCCAGCGCTTCCCAGTAAAGTGCCTAGTAAACATTACATAGTATTAAATTGACAAGACATGTCCCACAGAAACCCAGAATGTTGGCCCTATAACCTGAGACACAGTACAACACCTTGACAGGACAGCAAGAGAGACAGCCTGTGTCCTAAATAAAAGAAAACAACTCGGCACTAAATCTCCTTTCCTATAACCTGGATGCCCAAAAGAGAATGGGAGTCTATCTCCCTATTCTAAAGACACATCAGCAAATTAGGAGAGAACATTTTTAGCCTGAGAATTTCCTAAGACAAACCAGGCAGCAAGCTGTTGAAAAACAGGTTCAAATTCTGTAGCCAGAACCTGGTGTCCAATACTGATCAGAACAAGATCCTCTAGCCTGGCACACAACACAGAGTAGGAGACAGGAGATGGTGCTCCTTCTGTCTGGCTCCCTGTCTTCCTTTTGTTCCTTCCCTGTCTCTTTATTATTTATTATTCGATTCAGAACCGTATTAGCAAGACCAATGAGTTATAGTGCTGCCCCGGCCGATAGAATCAACACAACATTTACAGTACAAACTCTTTATTCCACCTCTCTTTTATGCTGGGCTCTAGGTCTGATGAAGACATTAATGTTTTACTAAGAAAGTGATTAACTACAGTAAACCAGAAACTTAACTGACACTGGGTAAACACCTCCATTGGAATTCAAATTCTACCACCGTAAAATACTACCAAAAGCATAAAATGCATAATCTTTAGTTCAGGATCTGCACATCTCAAGTTCAAGTAAAAATACTATAAACTAAACTAAACTTAAATACTTGGGGAACTTGCATGTGAGTCCCAGGTGGGCGTTTCCTGACCGAGGGAATGTTTTTCCTCTATCCACTCAAACACAGAGGTGCCCAGAGTCACTGTCCCATCATTGGTCTGAACATGACATACCAGGTAAAGTGCGTAGCTTGTGAAAAATAACAAAACCTGTGCAAACGACTCAGTTCTTGAATGTCCTAAGGTCATACTCAGCTACGTCTAGGAATACTATTTTTAGCTCACTGTTCTGTTTCTTTCTCTTTGCTGGTTTTCCATTTCTCAGCCTCAGGTAAACCTATTTGTATCTTGCTGTTTCTTTAACCAGTGGTTTATTAATTAAATGCTGCCTGTTCATGCTTGTCTGTGTTGTTAAGACTCCACTTGCACAGTGGAATGGTTTTTAAGGAGGCAAATTCTTATGCCTATCAAATATTTTAGTTTGTTTTGTTCTTATGCAGTTTTTGCTGATATTTAAGAGTTTTTATCTTTGAAAATGTTCAGTTGCGCATTCAATTATTTAAATCAATTTTGATTAAAATATTCTCTTTAACAAATGTGTGAATGTAATTTGATAATCAACAAAATGGGATATCATTGGAAGGCACATCAATACTTTGGCAGAGCTTGCAACACACAAGTACAACACAAGTGGACCCCTGGATTCTAATGATACTCAGGGGTCTAATCGTGTTGCACTCGCAGTGACTATTGAGAATAGTGTTCCTCGAGGACCAGGGCTGGGAAGCACAGGGATAGAGACAGTGTTCCTACAGGACGGGGGCTGGGAAGAGCTGGGATAGAGACGGTGTTCCTACAGAACCGGGACTGGGAAG